TGCAGAAAATGTTTATTCTTTATCCAACGAGATTTAGAAATTGATGCTGAACAGTTTATGCAAAAGTAGAATGGTAAAACTTGGAACTACTGTCTTTTGGCTCCAAAAAGCTCAAAACATACTGCCTCTATTGTAGATATATCCGTCTTTTGTTTACAAGGATTTTTCATATTGGTGGTGTTCACCCCAACTTGTGGTCTTTTGCGGGCACATGTTGTCAAGGTAGTCTTGCTTGCAAAGGCTGGAGAAAATTAGCTCCATTGCGTGTATTAACTGGGATGAAGATTTGGGATCTCCAGGTTGTTAATCTATCACAGCCACTAGGACATTCCCTTGGGGACTTCACAAGGATTTTGTTATTGATTTTACAAATTATAAGTTGGATCAAGTTTTGTCTGAATATTCTGCTGAATATTTATTGTCCGTTTCTTTGGATTAAAAAAGATTTATTTGTTCTTTTGCTCTTCCATCTGCAGAGTTGCTGCAACTAAAAGTCCAGTCATATTTATTGGAACTGGTGAACACATGGACGAGTTTGAAGTTTTTGATGTTAAACCATTTGTCAGCCGTCTTTTAGGTTTGCATCCTTCTGTTGAATACTTGATATTGCAACTTTGCTTGGACCTATGTTCCTATTCCACTGCCATTGATTTTGTTCTGCTGAACTATCTCTAGGCATGGGTGACTTGTCTGGATTGGTGAACAAGATACAAGATGTGGTCCCAATGGATCAACAGCCTGAGCTTCTTCAGAAGTTATCAGAAGGACATTTTACCTTGAGGATCATGTACGAGCAATTTCAGAGCATGCTTAAAATGGGTCCCCTTGGACAGGTTTGCCACTCACTTAAATTCATCTGATCATCCTTCATCCCTTCTCTCTCGCTTTCTCCCACTCCTTTTGGAATTTGGCAGACTTCTTCTGAATGTTGTATCATTGATAATTTATTTTTTGGAGACAGTAACAACTTGTATTCTATTCCAAAACAAAAACCAGAACCTGCCACAATAAGTTACAGATTCCTAATTACAATTGTGGAGAGTACCAGGAAGATCTTTAATCCTATAGCAAATTTACAAGGAACCTAAAACATCTTCAATTGATTCTAGATCTACCATGTTCTCCTGTTTACACCAAAAAAGAAACAAAACTAAGCAGTTCATCTTAATCTTCTGGATGGAATTGCCCTTGTTTTGGAAGCATCTGAGATTTCTTTCTTTCCACACGGACCACTAAATGCAAGCTGAAATAATTTTCCATCTTTCTTTATGCCTGGAAATGCTTGCATAACTGCTTCATAACTTCAGGGTTTGCGTAACTTTCCTAGGCATAACCCATTCCACAAAATGTTGGTTATTCTATAGTACAGGAAGAGATGGTTGACAGTCTCTACTTCTTCTTCACCACATAGAAGGCAATTATGACTCAGTTGAATATTTCTTTTCATGAGATTTTCCTGGGTCAAAACTGCCTGCTTAGCAAGGAGCCAAGTAAAACAAGACACCTTGTAGGGGTTTTTAGTTTTCTATATCAACTTCCATGGCCATCCATTCCCTTGACTGTTACAAGGATTAAATTTTTTATACGCTCTTCTAACACTGAAATTGTCCCGGTTGTGATCCTGTCATACCATACTATCTTGTGCATCAATAGTTCCTTTGAACTGCCCTAAAACCTTGTAAAACTCCACCAACCTTTGGATCTCCCAGTCATTTAGAGGTCTTCTAAAGCTCAGATTCCACCCTTGGTTTGACCACATCTCTGCTACAGTGGCTCTTTGCTGCTGGTTTAAGGTGAAAATATCCGGGAACAAGGTTTTTAAAGATCCTTGCTCTATCCATCTATCTTCCCAAAAAGAAGTTTTCCTTCCATTTCCCAATTTAATACTGCAGTTTTCTCTGAGCTTTGGCCAGTGGTTTCTGATGGCTCTCCAATGGCTTGATCCATAAGTGCTAGTGACCGTCTTAGTTATCCAGAGATCCTCCATTTCATATGTAGCCTGTATTACGTCTTTCCACAGAGCTTGCTCACTGGAAGCAAATCTCCATAGCCACTTCATCATAAGCCACTGGTTTTGAATTTTAAATTCGGTATCCCCATCCCCCCCTGCCTGTTTACTCTTAATCAGAGTATCCCACTTGACCAAGTGAATTTCTTGGTTTCACTATTTCCTTTCCACAGGAAATTCCTCCTCAAAGCATTAAGTCTGTCAATAACACCATCAGGAATAGGGAAAAGTGACATCATATATGCAGGCATAGAATCTAAAACACTATTGATGAGTGTTAATCTTCCTCCTAAAGAAAGGTACTGGCTCTTCCAATTCACCAACCTTTTTTCACATTTTCAATCACCCCATTTCAAATGCCTATAGATTTGCTTTTGGCTCCCAACGGCATTCCCAAATATGTAGTTGGTAGAACTCCCGTCCTTCCGCCCAAAATCCTAGCCAGAGAGTGTAAATCAGGAACTTCATTTACTGGATACAAGAAACTCTTGTTCCAATTGATGTGAAGCCCAGAGTCAGATCAGGTTTTTCTAGTTTCTAAAATTTTGTTTTCAGCCGCCATTTTCTTCATCAAGGTCCCACATTTCTTGATTTTTTTTTTTACTTTACCGCTTTTTGAACTTTATGAGAGAACATTCGGGTCCCTCCTTTCCCAACTGCTGCTCCTCAAACCCCCCCTGCTTTTTTCTCTTTTGGTTTCTTTCTTTCTTCCTTTTCTTTTTCTTCTTTTGCCTTTAACCATTTCAAAAGAAAATCTAGTTGCATGTACAAATGTTTTTTGCTGTTTCTGAAATCTGTAACCATATGAAATAAGTTACTATTGTTAGGGATTCAGTGATATGTTTTCGCAAGTTCAAATCTGATAAAACTTCTTTTTTCCAATACTAAATCAAAACACAGTTGTTTCCGAAAGCTCAATTAAAATATGTTTTTTTTTTTCAAAACAAATTCCCAACCAAATCAAAAGAAGAATTTTGGTTTGGAGAATTTTCATCATTTGTTTAATTCTTTCGAAAAGAAGTAGCTTTCATATAGTATATCCCAAAAGCTTATGATTTCATTTTTGTTAGTTCTTCTAGAAAATCTCTTAGGATTGTTTCTATTTTCCATCTGTTCTTAATCTTCAGGTTTATAAATTTAAAGATACTGGTCTAGTATCTTAAGCAAGTTGTTGAAGACCATTTGGAGCCTGCTGTTTCATTTAGGCTTTATTTGGATTGGTAGATTTTAAATCCTTCCAAGAATTTAAAATTGTTAGTAGGCAACTCAATTGTTTATTTGTTAACTTTCCATAATAAACATTTTTATTTCCTATATTGCTATCCATTGCTCAAACTGCAATGATTTCAAAATGGCATTAGTGTTGGAAAAAATTGAAATCCACTAAAGATAGTTAGAAAATACTTGGGGGTTTGGACAATATTTGGTTGGAGAAAAGAAAGGAGTTTTGAAGTAGACTTGGAAAAAGGTAATTGAATTCAAATTGTATTTGGACAATAACTGGTTGATGTTGGAATAAAAGAGTATTTGAAGTTGAAGTGGAAGAAATGTATGTGGAAGTTAATTGTGTTTGAACATGAATTTCACTTGGAATGAGTTCTCTGAGCACTCAAATTATCAAATTAAATATGGATCCCACATTAGGTGGCTTGTGGCGACTTGGCAAATTGATAGTTGATGCTATTCGTGGAAATGTTTAAAGCATCTTTATGCGTTTTCATCCAAATAGATCTATGGATTTCAAATCACTTGAGTCTCATTTGAGCATTAATTTTTCCTACCAGAAGTTTTTTTAACACATGAACATTAGTTTGATTGGATGGGAATTTTTCTGCTCTTCTTCTAATCCCCCCCCCCCCCCCCCCCCTCTTCTTTTGTTTTGGTTCCCCCTCTTTGATTCCTTCTTTATTTTACGTGACTACTTCTTTTGTTTTGGTTCCCCCTCTTTGATTCCTTCTTTATTTTACGAAGTCACGCTTGTGCCTGTTTAGCTTTTCGTTCTGGAGGTTGATTGATATCATTCTGGTTGCACGTCATTGATGTTCTTTTTGGTTTGTGTAGGTTTTTTCAATGCTTCCTGGATTTAGTGCAGAGATGATGCCACAAGGTCGTGAAAAGGAAAGTCAAGCAAAGTTTAAAAGGTATATGACAATGATGGACTCCATGACTGATGAAGGCAAGTGAGCTACATTATATGTTCTGTTTAAGCTATATTTGTACACCGTATTTTAGAATATTATTTAACCTTTTGATTTGAAATTGATAACATAATTGCAGAATTGGACAGTACCAATCCAAAGATTTTGACTGAATCTCGGATCATGCGTATAGCTAGGGGATCTGGCCGCCTCGTGCATGAGGTGATGGAGATGTTGGAAGAATACAAACGACTTGCCAAAATATTCAGCAAGATGAAGGGTCTTAAGATTCCAAAGAAGGGAGATATGAGCTCCCTGTCGAGAAACATGAATGCACAAAACATGAGCAAAGTCCTCCCCCCTCAGATGTTGAAGCAGATCGGTGGAATGGGTGGTTTGCAGAACTTAATGAAGCAAATGGGTTCCGCCAAGGACATGATGGGTATGTTTGGTGGTGGTGGTGGAGAGTAATAATGGAATCACAATTGAACTACAGTTTACGTCGTCAATTCATAGTTGGTGGAAATAGCATGTAACCAAATCTCTGTCACTCCCTATCTTTCAAATTTTGAATCTGATGCATTTGGTAAATTTATTTGATTCAGAATGAAACACTGTATGGTTTTGATGCTCCACTTCATGCTATGCTTGTATGACATGATCTCTTCATACGCTGCTTGTAAATTTATCTGTTTACTGGATGTGACTAATGAGCAGCCAAGTTGCTATTTTAACCTTTGCCGATATAATTGCACAAATTCTCAATTGCACAAATTTTCAATTGCACATTGTATTGAAGCACCTATGAGTTGGTCTTTCATCAATGGTGTCTGGTTCTCTGCGGTTTCAGGTTATATAGCAGTACAATGGAAAGCTTTATTTCAAACTTAATCTTCAATGACAATTTTCCAATTTGTCACTACTATTACATAATGGAGATGAAATAAGACACGTACATAAACTACAAGGCCATCTGAGAGTAATAAGAGTAAGGAGGAAATACTATACAAGCTTCCCCGTGTTATTATAAATACGCGTTTTGTGTTTTATAAATCATCCATCTAAAGACTTCGTAAGAGCTGTCTTTGTAGAAGGGTTCTCTTCCTCATTGTCCTTTGACCTACTAGCTGTTTGTAGTGCATAACGAATGACAGAATTCATCTGTTTCCTCAATTTGGCATTGTCAACATACACATCAGCTAGTTGTTTCCTCAATTCATCCACTGTTGTGCATGAATATTCTCCATCAAGATTTCCACCAGCAACAGTAGTTTCAACATCTTGTGCTAGGATCTGGGCCTGTTTAAGACATCAAGGAAGAAAGAGGAATGAGAGAGATTTGAGCATGTTCATGCAAGTTTTTCCTTCCTCATCATAATGACTCAGCCAATCAACAGAATTTATAACGGCAAAAAATAACAAGATCTGAAACACACAACATTGCAACAAATGTATAGCCATACTAATTCATGTAGGGCTGGATATCAAACAATCAAGTTACTAATTTGGTAGGTTGCTACGTCTAAGTTAGATCTAGTAAATCACACTAGCATATGGTATAATACTATGATATTATCTTGTCCTTGTAACCCAGTAATTAAAAGCTGGGTTCCTTGTTGTTCCTTTATCTGCTTAGCAACAGATATAATTGCTAAGCAACACATGAAGGAAATTGGCAAGTCAGAAAGGTGATAGCGCTCTCCTTGTTTTTTACTTCTTCGTTCCCAGTTGGTAGAACTCTCTATTTTTTTCCCCAACCTTTTATCTACTTATGTTCTTGATTCCCAAGCACCAAGAACAGAACAATAAAGACAGTAATACCTCAGTATAATCAAAGCGTTCTCCTCTGGTAATCAGAGTCCACATAAGATGCTAAAGAAATGTTTATAATCTCATCCAATTGTTAAACCAATACTCTTTAGGGCAGGATATTGGTTTCTTCATATTCTTCCCATTTTTTCCCTTTCGCTAAAATGTTTGGTATATCTATTTATTTCCTTTTGGATGTTGTACAGAAGACTGGAAACTTGATCTTAAGAAAAAACACGGATCTCAAGCATCTGAGTAGAACATAAATTGTATGTAGTTTTTCTGTTAGAGAAAACCACGTGTAATTCAAGAGCATTTAGGAAAAGCACAGCCAAGAACAGCCCAAATGAAAGCACAAAAAGTAAAGACACACCTCTGCAAGAAGTAGACCTATTCGATCATCAGATGTTGACAGCATATCAATGGCATCCGAAGGGATAGAAGCATTCAGAACCAGTTTATTTTCTTCCTCGATGAGAAAACTGACACTGCATTCCTCCAGTCTACTGCGAAGAATTTCATACTCATGCAGCAGCTTAATATTTGCAGCGGTAGCATGTTCCCTAGTTTGCCTTTCCTCCCGTAAAATCATCTGAAAGAAAGGAACATCATTATTTTCACAGTTTATTGAAGGACAGACCTACGGAGAAAAATTTACAACCCCACCCTTCCCCAGGGACAAGAAAATGAAAAGCACAATATATCCTTGGTTTAACCCTAAATACAAGAGATCAATTGCATATCCACTGCACTAACAAGTATCCATTTAAAGAATGACTATGCATTAATAAAAAACAATGAAGTGAATGATTACTTCAACTTCTGCCTTCTATTTAGCCAAGTTGCTGAGCTCCTGCTTGAGTTCTGAGTGGGAACTTCGTAAAGATTTAACCTCCTTGACTAAAAGTTTGACATCTGTGTTGGACTTCGACTCCAACTCCAAATGGAGTTTCTGCAAGCTATTGTTCTGCTGTTGAGCAGCATCCAATTCTTGGTACAGTCTTTCATTCTCTTGTACTATGATTCTTTGAGTTGATTCCATCCGAATCTTGTCAGCCTTAACAATTTTCAGTAAGAACTTGCTCACTGTCCGAAATATAGAAGAAATATCACATTTTGTAATAGAAGAGAGTGACAGTAGACCTGTTCAGCCGCCAGCTTCAATTCCATCTCCACACACTTTCTTCTAAGTTCCTCCATATCCCATTGCATTTCAGTAAATTTTTCCTTCTCAGTTAGAACTGCTTGCTGCAGGTTCTCTTGGCCACTCTGTTTTAGGGAATCAAGCTCAATTTCCAAATCTTTGACCTGTGTAAGTCCACAAATGGTATTATTAGCATCTTTATCATAACACAAGATCAAGAAGTCCAACAGTAATATAACTCATATTCGTAAAACAGACAAGTCCAGCAGTAATATTACTCCGGCTCTTTGGTTTAAAAAGTATTTCGTTGGAAGTTCGGATCTACATGTTGAGATAAACTTCTACGCGTAAAATGATTATCAAACATGTATCTGTAAGAATTACCTAGCCCTTTCATAACCCCATTTCCATTATCCACCTATATTTGGGGTGGAATGAGTAGGAAGAGGGAAGTGTGACTGTGACATATTACACAAGGAAATATCAGAATGAAGTTCTCTTTACAATGGGAAAGAGTGGTGGCAAGGAGGAGAAGTATACGAGCTTGATGGGCTAACAATTTATGAGTATATCACAGGAGCTTATCATTAGAGACCTTAGCTGGGGGGTAGGATATTAAAGGAGAGGGTGCCTGAAGACAAGTTGTTAGGACTGGTTTGCTGGGTCATTCTTCTAACCAATTCTTCTGGAAATCTCACAAACGGAAGCCCAGTGCACTAAGCTCCCACTATGTGCAGGGTCCGCGGAAGGGCCAGAATATTCCAATTCTGATATAAGTAAAGGCAACAAAGGACATTACACGATGCATCAATGCAGCAAGCAAAAGAGAATTCTGCTTTGTAATGTACAAAAATAGACAGGTGGCATCTGCCATTATCCAAATTAACACGTGTATTTCGTACGAAGGAAAATGTTTTCCACTGAAAATGATTTCCCGGAAAACAAGTGGTTTCTTACTTATTTTCTAGTGTTTAGCAAGTAAATATTATCCCAAGAGCATTTATAAGTAATCTAGCAAAACACTATGGAGGTGGGATGGGGAGTGGGAGTTCAGGGGTGTTGGGGGTGGGGGTATTGGGTGGGTGGGTGGAAGGAGATGATAAACTTAGAATGCCACTTATGCAACTTGTTTTCCCTACTTCCATTGGGAAAGTCATTTTCTTCATTTTTATGGAACTTGTTTTCCTAGAGAAACTATTTTCCAAACGTTTTGACAACCAAAACAACATAGGAAAATTGGAAAACTGTAACGATTCAAAATTTTTTTTTTATATAAATAAGAATAAATAAGTATTTAAAGGGCGTAATTGTCCTTTCACGTTTTAAATGAATAAATAAATAAATAAATCAAAAACAGATTTGTATTTATTTATTATTTGACTGATTTTTGAATTAGTCTCCTAATCCAAATAGTCCTCTCTCTCTCACGCTCCTTAACTCTCTTTCTCACGTTCTCCATCTTCATCACATTATTTCTGCCAAAAATATCAACAGTTTTCATGCTTGAAAAACTCACAAAAAATTTTCAAGTAAAAGAAAATAAGTAATCAAAACGTCAAGGCTAAGAGAGGTTCGTCGAGAGAGGTGTGCGTTGAAGTGAATTGGGAGTGGTTTGGAGGAGTTTTCCGGGCAGCAACATTAAAGTTTGAACATCGATTAAGGTATGGGTTTCTTCTCTCTTGGCTCCTTTCCCAAGAGGCCCCTTACGATTCAAGTTATTCATCTCGAAACTAAGGCTGTTTCCCGTTGCATGCCCCTGTCACTAGCTCCCAATGAATTTTAGGTTGGGTATGATTGCTGGTAGATTTAGGTGTATATTATGTTTTCGCGATGAATATGATTATGTTTGTGTACTTGGAATCGTATGAAAGGCAACCATGTTTTTCTTGAAATTATGTGTAAGTATGTTACAGTGAATGAGGTTCTTTATGTAATGCTCCAAAAGTTTAATGTAATATGATTGTATATTTTTCGTGAATAAAATGGGGTAAGACGTGAAGTTCATATGAAATGTTAGGTGGCTTGATTGAGGGAGTAATTCTTGGTTAGACGAATCTATAAAAAAAAAATATAATGTGTAATTAAAACATTATGAATGAACCATGAAATTTCCCTAAGAATTAATGTTAAACTTGATGAAAAAGTGAAGAAAAATCGTAGAATAAATTTCCAGAACTTGAAAACAGACTTTAAAAGAATCTGGAAATTTTTTTGAACATCAAAAGAATTAAAAAAAAAAGTTTTGAGGCCTGCAGGGATCGAACCCAGGACCTCCCTGCAGCATGCCTTAATTAAAAAAAAAAATGGGGCTGGCAGGGATCGAACTCGCGACCCCAGCCACGCGCAAAAAAAAAAAAAAAAAGATTTAAAAGGGAATGCTGGGGGCGGGGATCGAACCCACGACCCCCAGTTCGCGAAAAAAAAAAAGGAATAAAAAGGGATGTGAGGCGTGGGGATCGAACCCACGACCTCAGAGTTGAAGGGAGGGGTACAAATATTAAGGAAATAAAGGTGAGGCTGTGGGGGTTCGAACCCACCACCTCACAGCCTCCATTTCCAGCGAAAATAAGAGAAAAATAAAGGGGGCTGTGGGGGTTCGAACCCACAACCTCCCTATTCAAGCGAATGTAATTAAAAATAATAATAATAATAAATTAAAATTCTAATTAAAGTTAAAAAAATTAATTCTCTTATGTAAACATTGAGATTTAATTTAGAATTTTAATTAAAAATAGAATATTAATTCTTTTATGTAAATATTGAGATTTAAATTGGAATTCTAATTAAATTAGAAAATTATTCTTTCATCTAAATGATTGAAATTTAATTTAGAATTCTAATTAAAATAAAACAATTTATTATTTCACGAAAATGTTGAGACTTAACTTAGAGTTCTAAATTTATGAATATTAGAACAAAAAATCAATGAAAAATATAAATGATATCCAAATAATTCAAAATTTGGGTTCTCGTGCCCAAACCTCCGTATTGATACATAAGTCATACGTGAGTAAAATATTCAAGAATAATGTAATCTACTTTGATCAAAAATCAAGATCTTGGTATATATACAAGATACATAAGTCTTGTAATACATAATCTTAGGAAAATAAGAATCACTTAACGAACTATAAACGAAGCCCCATGGCTTGTATGTATAGACACATAAGTTTAACATACGTTCAAAAAAATAAGTGAACCTAAGATGTACGTAATGAAATGAAGAATGTGGTGACAATCATGATGTGAGGCTAATGTATATGGAGAGAGCAATCTCAAACGAGCCTAAGTAAATGTTACCAATACGTATTCATCAATGAGGGTGTAAGATAATGAAGAGACCAGTCTCTATAAATACTTTAATGAAAAATATTGAGTTTAAAACACTTAATACTAATAATGAGATGAGAAATCATCTATTGAGCTATGATGCCCTCATACTAGAAGACAACTTCCATGATGTATGAGTTGGATGTAATGGAACTTTATACTGAGCACCGATAGGCTAGCTATGAGCGGTGATGCCTTCTTTCGGGAAGGGCGGAGGCTCACGTAACTCTCATGAGATGAGACTGTCCGGCTTGCCGGGTATGGGTCTCCATACATCTCCTAGTCTTTGAACCTATATTGCCACTATAGGGATCTGGCGGGGTTAAATTCCCATATACGCTAGCATGTTATTGAATCGCTTTGGCCGGTGATTCCACCTCTTTTCGGTGTGGGGAAGACACTGGATTTCATGATGCTCACATGATCTATGTCGGTTAAAGTTAAAGTTCCCAATGAATGAATGAGGCCAGCCTCAAATGAATCATATAAAGAAATGAATGATACCGAAGGTGTTAGGATAGGATAATCAAGAGGTGAGCTAGATTTAGGTAATGACATTAGGTCATTCCTGATCATTGCACAGCAAACCCAATGGAAGTCTTAAACTACATCCTAGGTATAGCTGGTGTTCGCACTGGCCTATGAATGAATTGAAATGAAATACGAACGAATGAATGAAGCAGGCTCTGTGTTTGCTGAAGAAGGCTCCCTAGTTGAGGTCCCATATGTTGAGCCCTCATTTTGGGAAGTCTTAAGGTTAAGTCTATGATAGTAAGGTCTCATGGTATATGAATGAACAATATGAAAGAAACTATGTGCTATATGTTATGTGTTATATGAAGATATTATGTGTTGTGTGCCATACAATAACTATAATGATGCATGTCACTCTCGTGGCATAACCTTCCTAATCTCATTTTAGCAAGTCCACCGACTTGACTTCCAAAAATCATGTTGTTAGGAAAGAGCTATTCTTTCTCATGCATGTCCCTGGTGTGTGCTTGCATATACCCATACTTAGTACAAGTGTGTACTAATTCCATACAAACATCTACTTTTAGGTGCAGGCACAGGTGTACGATAGAGCTACAAGTTCTTTGTTGCAGCTATCTGGACGTCAGCATTCATCCGGAGTTTGGTAGGTCCTTATGCCTTCGAGGATGCTACTGTTTTACATTCTAGCGTAGTTTTAGAGTTGAGCTAGTGGGGCATGTTCCACTAGCGTTTCTTTCCTGTTTTGGTTCAGACTTTGTATTGGTGCTATTTTGGCCGATATACAATTAATATTTAATGAATTATTTCTTTCAGCTGCTTATCTCTTAAAGGTTAGATGGTTGATGATGAACGATTACGAAATGTTAAGAATGTTCAGCAAGTATGATTAAAGAATCAAAAATTCCAAATTTTCCGCTAAAATTAATCTATGTAAAGTAAGAATGACGTAAGTAGGCTTGTCTGCGACCTCTGAGAGGTCAACGACGCCGGTCTCGTCTGGGGTCTAGATTCCGGTCGTGACAAAGTTGGTATCAGAGCGCTAGGTTAAATTCCTAGAATAATGAGTTCACATCAACCACATTGAGTAGTTTCTAAGTCATGGTAGTGAAGTGCACCACTATCCTGGATTAGAGACTGCATGATGCGTAGGAAAAACTTCCCTTTTTCTGATCTTATCGTGCTTATCCTAATGTTTGAATTCTTGGTGTTATGAACGTGTCTAACATCAATCTTGTTGTTTTTCAGAGAATGAATACTTGGAGGACTAAGGGTCGGAGGACGGGAGCAGCTGCAGCTAGGGGTAATCAGAATCCACCCCAGGCTCCAGCTGAAGGAGTGG